TTTTTTTTTTTTTTTTTTTTTAATTTTTTTTCAACGTTTATTTATTTTTGGGACAGAGAGAGACAGAGCATGAACGGGGGAGGGGCAGAGAGAGAGGGAGACACAGAATCGGAAACAGGCTCCAGGCTCCGAGCCATCAGCCCAGAGCCCGACGCGGGGCTCGAACTCACGGACCGCGAGATCGTGACCTGGCTGAAGTCGGACGCTTAACCGACTGCGCCACCCAGGCGCCCCTAAACTCCTCCAATTTTAACTTCTGATCTTAATAAGAAAAAAAAATCTATCCAGATGCTTAGGGGAGGCACTTCTGGGATCAGATTTTGCTTATGCGCAGGGTGACTGAGCCTGAAAATACTGTGGCTAAACTATCATGTAAACTTTCCAAGACAGAGGCCTAGTCCTTCTTTTCTGTTTGCTTGTCTGTGTCAGTCCAGAGCCAGCAGAATCAGAAACACTACGAGTCACTTGGTTGATGTGGTTATGAGGAAGTGGATAGGAATTTTCTCGGCTTCCTCTTTCCCTAGAAGGATTTGTGAGAAGCCAAAATGAAGAGTATCCTCAAATTTTTAAATTTATCTCACAATTAACAGAAAAGGTCAGAACCGGGATCCCTCCCATCTCACCCCACTTCACATCCCCAATGAGGTTCTTTTCGACCAACATTAGTAAGAACGGCTTCGGTCTCCCGAAGCCTCCCCTCCCAGCTGCCCAGCCCGCTGCTAACACGCATGACCGTTCTCCTCACAGTCCCCACCGCGCTGCAAATCACTCTCTCAGAGGCAGAGCGGTTTCACTGACACGCCGTCTAGCCGACGACATGGCAGATGCCTCAAGGGTCTTACTAAGATGCTCACTTCATAGTTTCCTGCCATGATGAGTTTAGCAAACCTCCTGGATCCTGCCACGTTACAGCGCTCTCCAATGTTAACAAAGTTGGTGTACGGTCCGATCCTGAAGGGCTCTAGACCTTAAAAGGAGAAGCATTTTGAGAATTTTCTGGAAATTCACATGATGATATGAGACAGACAGAAAACAAGCGCTTTCATGAGAAAGAAAAGAAGTTTTGGTGGCACAGCGCATCTGGCTACACAGGACGCCTAACGCGGGGTGAGGAAGGACCACGGCCTTCTTCCCCCAGAAATCTTTAAACATAACAAAGGCTGTATGTTACGGCTGCACTTACAACCACAACTCTCAAAAGAATTATTTCAGGGCTTTTCAGTTCAAAATTTTTCTAAGGAACTGCATCATACCAGCTTTGATAAACAAGGAAAAATTATCGTCATAACCCTATTTCACCAAGAGTGTGGGGCCAAGGCTGGGAGGTCAGGAGCCAAAGGACTGCTCGCAGCTGGCCACTTGGAGATCAGCGGGAAGCCAGCCGGGGCAAGCTTCCTTCATCCCCCCAGCAGCGTGCTCAGAACTCTACCTGCTGTCTTTGACCCAGAGGCCAAGAGCCCGGGACCAGCAAGGTCGGACTGGGTCACCAGGAAGGACCTAGGATGAGCCCTGGGAGACTGGAGTCGCCACGGCACACCCTCCACTCGTGAGCGGACTCTGGGAAACGCAACTCAGGCTGTCTGCACCTCTTGCCTTATTTGCCAAGGGGACGTAACATCTCCCCTGGTACGGGCCAGGTTAGGGGCAAATACCAGCTTTACAATTAGGAACACATTAACCGAGGTAAAAAGCAACAGGCGGTGCAAAGTTATCGCTACAGAAAACGCTGTTATCTGTTTCTGTTCTAATGATATTTAAAGCACGAGGAGACAGGGTCTGGCAGGATCTGGGGACAGCCAGCCCCGGGTTCCAAGCCCCGTCCAGCTATTTCAGCACATAGACCAGGGCTGCTTCTTTTGTGGTCTCTGATTTTATAAAAGAGAGACATAAAAGGATGTTTTTTAACACTTTTTTCATACATTTCATAGCAATACTGTAAAAACGAGACTAGATAATACTGATAAGCATAAAATTAGCATCTGCAGTCATCGCTGTTGTTGTTAATGAGAGAAAATGGCTTTTGCATCCTTTGCCAAAGCACTGGTTGAAAAGGAACAAGGTATCGGGGAGAGGAAAATAATGAATACAAGATGAGTAATTATGAAGGTCTTCCAGACTGGTTAACAGACTGGGGAGACATCCCTTCCCAGTTCTGTCTTATGATTTCTTCCCACTGGTAGTGAACCTCGGGGTACCCCTGATCCGGAGGCAGACGCCGAGGCTCGCAGGGCAGGCAAACAGGGGTGCCAACATTTACGTGCTGAGGGGGACCCTGCGTCATCGCCCTACAAGCATTGTATACAAAGTGCTTCTCAACTATTATCAATGTGAGGTATCTGACATAAAAGCTACATTTTCCTTACGTCTGCAATCTATAAAAGAACCATTTAAAGGAGTGTGTTGGATTTCATTCTTTTAAAATCTGATTGAAGGTGATTTTTAAAAGCAATTTAGAAATAGCACTGGAAATTCAAATTGGAAGAAGAGGCTTCTTTGATTCTTCCACATAAATTCTTTTTAAAAATCCTATCTAAAAGGTTCTCTTGTTTCAATCTTGGCAAAGTCAATCAGCAGTCTTAAGATCTAAGGATGAAATCAACTATCCTACCACACCTCTCCCTGGCAGAAGCCACGTTCTGGGGTGAGGGGTGTGCCATCACCCCCTAAATCCCACTCCCTCTAGGCTTGCTCTCCGTCTTCTGGAAAATGAACAGAAAGCCAGGTAAGACTGCAGAAGGTTTTTAACCCAACTTCACACTCACTCACTGGGATGAATTCTATGAAATATGTTCTGACTGAGAAAAGGAGGTGCTGCTTTTGCTGTCCTTAGATTTTATTTCAACTTCCTTAGAGGAACATAAGGAACACACATATTTCAATTTTGAGAAATGTTAAATTCTAAGTTATTAGGGTACATAATTTCCCACGTGCACTATTTGCAGATTCTCTAAGAATCTGTTATTGTATACATATATCTGTATATCTATAAATACATATACACACACACATTTTTGTTGTTGTTGCTTAAAAATACCATCTAAGAATATGTCATTTTAGTATTGTGGAGAAAATATAAAACTTAAAGTTATTTCTCTAATAGTCGGCATAATGGACTACTTTACTGATGTTCCTTATTTGATCACCAAAACTCATTCTAGAAAAGGGAGGCTGCCCACCTTACAGGACTGATGAGCACCCAACAGAACAGTAACTACACCTCTTTGTAAAGTCCTGAACACACAGCAAATGCAGGATCATGGCAAGAATATCATAGAAGCAAACGATTTCCTAGGAAGAGGCTGCCGTCATTACAAACCACTGTTTGTGGCGGTTTGGAACTTTCAATAACTAACGGCAAATCCGACGATTCAAATGGTTAGCCTGTGGCCGAGAGCGTGTTTTCAAAGCGGTGCGTAACAGAGCCGCGACTGTGTGAGTTCTAACTCTGAGCAGAGACCCCACCTGGGCAAACCACCTGTGCCTTCTGCACATTTCCCACCTCTACTCTCCACTAGAAGCCACTGAAATGCCAGAAAACACGCACGCCTCTTGACCTAAGAAGCAAGTTACTTGGCACACGTATCACCACCGCTCGGAATAAACGTACGGAATTAACCCACAAGTGGTTTCTGAAATCCTAACAATCGTGTCTCTACCACTTACCAGAGAGTAACATATGCTGTTCAAAAACAGTGGCAGGTGGAACTCTAGGCTTACAGTTTTTCACAGCTTCAGCAATTTCCCTGAGTTAAAAGACAAAACACTACATCCATTAATTCAGAAGAAAATAAATTGAATTAAGCTAATTTCCAGCTATGAAATTAAGTCTATTTAACATAATTATGCACATAATTATGTACCTAATTCCAAACGTGCGGCAGCAGCTACGCCTTTTAGTTTTCTCAGCAAGGCCGAAAATGAACGTACACACTTGAACTTTTCTCTACCTGCCCAGTCTGCTGGGCACTGACTGTACCAGCTTCTGCGCTCAGAGATACAAACTGAGAGATGGATGGGATGGTTTATGCAAATGCCAACAGCAAATCCCCTCCTTTCTTTCCCAAACCCATAGGTGTCCTTCCCCCCATGAACAATGTGCTTGCTTCCTAGTAGTTTGACAGAAAAAAGGCTTCCTCGTAGAGGAGGAGCACACAGCAGACGGGGTGCCACGAGTGCAGGCCTGTGTTTTAGGTCTGTTTTCTCTAAGCATAGGCACACAGTAGGGAGGGCATATAGTAATAAATCACTTAAAACCCCAAAAATAATTACTCTCAAAAATTTGCTTTGATTGTGCACACACTTCTTAACCTTATTGGCTGTAGTAAATCATGTCTTAGATCAATTTGGAAAAATCAGGCTACTCCACTAAATTTATCAGGACCTGTATGAACTGCTCACTCTGCTGACCTAGATTAGTATGCAGATGCCCCAGTAGAAGCAGCAGGAGAGCGTGTGCGTGCACACACACACACACACACACACAGAGGTGAGTAGACAGAGATAGAAATATATACGCCTACATGTATATACACACAATCACACAGGTATTTTTTTTTTTAATGTTATTTTTGAGAGAGACAGAGACAGAGTGCGAACGGGGCAGAGACAGAGGGAGACACAGAATCTGAAACAGGCTCCAGGTTCCTAGCTGTCAGCACAGAGCCTGATGTGGGACTCAAACTCACAGACTGTGAGATCCTGACCTAAGCTGAAGTTGGACGCTTAACTGACTGAGCCTCCCAGGCGGCCCACCCCACAGGTATTTTTAAAACAACTCTCTTTAGGGGTGCCTGGGTGACTCCGTCGGTTGAGCATCTGTCTTTGGCTCAGGTCATGATCTCACAGTTCATGAGTTTGAGCCCCACATCAGGCTCCACGCTGACAGTGTGGAGCCTGCTTCGGATTCTCTATCTCCCCCTCTCTCTCTGCCCCTCCCCTGTTCATGTTCTCTAAATAAAACTTTAAAAAATAAATGAATAAAAACAAAAAAATGATGATGGACAAGTAGAGGTGGTAGAGGAGAGAGAGACAGAGCACCTGGGGGAGGGGCAGAGAGAGAGGAGACATTAGACTGAGGCTCCAGCAGCCTGGCTGCCTGTACCAGAGCCTGACGCTGCTGGGCTCGACCACGGGATCAAGCGATTGTGACCTGGTTGAAGTCGGACGCGAACTCCATCAGCCACCCAGGCTTCAAAACAACTTTTTAAAAGGAGAGAGAGCAATCCTTAAAAAACAAAAGGAAACCGAAAGATATACTATATTCAACTACTGATAGCTTTTAGATATTATTTAAAAGATGTTTTAAAAATTACATAGGCTCAAGTGCGCCCGGTGGCTCAGCCGTTGCTGTGCAGCATCCCGACTGCTCAGGTCATCTCACAGTTCGTGGTTCAAGCCTTGTTAATTTCTCATGTTGACAGCTCGGAGCTCGGAGCCTGCTTCAGATTCTGTGCCTCCCCTCTCTCTGCTCGTCCCCCTGCTCATGCTCTGCCTCTCTGTCTCAAAAAATAAATAAAAACAAAAAAAAAAAAATTAAAAAAAAAAGTTACAGAGGTTTCTGATGCCTGGTGGGTTTCAGGATGAGCTGGCCCAACTGCCTGAATAATACGATTCATGGTTGAGAGTTCGAGTTTTGTCGGCCAGGCTCTGTGCTAACAGCTCTGAGCCTGGAGCCTGCTTTGGATTCTGTGTCTCCCTCTTTCTCTGCCCCTCCCCTGCTCAATGCTCTGTCTCACTCTATCTCAAAAATAAATACAAACATTAAAAACAAATAAATAAATAAAAATAAAAATTATATAGGCTCTTAACAGAGTCTATCACAGAAGCCAACAAAAAGAGTGAAATGTTAGATACATCAGAACAGCGGACATATCATGTGCACAGACTCAGCACAGTGGGATGACTGGCTCAAAATCGACCGTCACTCGAGGGAAAAAGCAAGTTACAAACAGTCCTAAACTGTATCCTATCTCACTGAACTGCAAGCCTCTTTAAGCCACACACTGGCAAGGACTTGAACACATGCTCTCCTTCACACCCTGTCCCTCAGATGCTCGCTCAACAACACGGGTTAGGCCAATGACCGGGCGACTTCTCTTGACCTCAAGGAGCTTGGTTGTCTTGCCATCTTTTCCTTCCATGAGAGAACTAATGGGGATGTGTGTTTGCCCACAGGAAATGTGAGCTGTCCTTCCTTGACTTTCTGAATATTAGTCAGGTATTTGTGGATAGAATATCGTGATGGAATTTGCTTTACAATGTTCTAAGGGGAAAAAATTGGGAAATAGATAAAAAAAAGAAAGAAAAGCAAAATACTGAAAATTATGGAACCTCTGTGACAGGCACATGGGGATTCATTTTATTAATCTTCTTTTGTTTGTGGAATTTGTCACAGTATAAAGGTATCTTAGTTTGCTGGGGCTGCCATAATGAAATACCACAGACTGAGTAGCTGAAACGGCAGAAATTTTTTTCTCGAAGTTCTAGAAGCTAGAAGTCTGAGAAGAAGGTGTTGGCAGAGCTGGTCGCCTCTCTGGCTCACAGATGTCTTCTTCTCCCTATGTGCTCACAGGGTCCCTTCCTCTGTGCGACTGTGTCCTTATCCCTTCTTACAAAGACACCAGTTATACTGGATTAGGGCCAACCCATATGATCTCATTTCACCTGAATCATCTCTTTGAAGATCCTATCTCCAAATACAGTCACTTCAAAGGAACTGGGAGGTTGGGACTTCAACATATGAATTTTGGGGGGTGGGGACACAATTCATCCCACAACAAAAGGTAAAATACTTAGAAATGATTACCACCTGATATGATCTGGTGTCGTACCACAGCACCCACCAACTATATTGACCAAGCCATCCACAGCAAAGCCCTGCGTTTAGGAAAAGAAACAGTTTCAGAATCCATCTGAATTCAAAATTCACCACCACCCCTTCAGCGGAAAAGAGATCTACATTTCATAAATGAATGTTTCACTAAAAAGAGGGTTAAACATAATCCAAGATACAAAGCTTTCACATGCCTTAGATAGGTTTAAAGCAGGGAACATAGCTCAGATAACTATGAAATCCTTTATACCATTTAAAATGTAATGATGTAATCATTTGCCTACTAGGACATAATAAAGACCTTTTTTTTTACCTATATGCGGAGTGGAATCACATGATGAGCTGGATAGCACATCAAATAACACATAAAGTACATACCAGCTTTTACATTTAAATTAATTTAAAATTTTATGGGGGTGCCTGGGTGGCTCAGTCAGTTAAGCATCCGACTTTGGCTCAGGTCACGATCTCACAGTTGGGGAGTCCAAGCCCCACGTCGGGCTCTGTGCTGACAGCTCGGAGCCTGGAGCCTGCTTCGCATTCTGTGTCTCCCTCTCTCTCTCTGCGACCCCCCCCCCCAACTCGTGCTCTG